GTGTCACATGTTAATTGGACAAGACAGTCTACTGACTCTTATCAGAGGGGGCCAGCCGGTGGTGGTGGTGGTGTGGTGGTGGTGTGGTGTGGTGGTGTGGTGTGGTGGTGATGTGGTGTGGTGGTGGTGTGGTGGGTGTGGTGGTGGTGGTGGTGTGGTGGTGGTGTGGTGGTGATGTGGTGTGGTGGTGGTGTGGTGGTGTGGTGGGGGTGGTGGTGGTGGTGGTGTGGTGGTGGTGTGGTGGTGATGTGGTGTGGTGGTGGTGTGGTGGTGTGGTGGTGGGGTGGTGTGGTGGTGTGGTGGTGGTGTGGTGGTGGTGATGTGGTGTGGTGGTGGTGGTGGTTGTGGTGGTGGTTGTGGTGGTGGTTGTGGTGGTGGTGGTTGTGGGGGTTGTGGTTGTGGTGGTGGTGGTGGTTGTGGTGGTGGGTGGTGGTGGTGGTTGTGGTGGTGGTTGTGGTGGTGGTGGTTGTGTGGTGGTGGTTGTGGTGGTGGTGGTGGTGGTGGAGTGGGTGGTGGTTGTGGTGGTGGTGGTGGTGGTGGTTGTGGTGGTGGTGGTGGTTGTGGTGGTTGTAGTGGTGGTGGTGGTGGTAGTTGTGGTGGTGGTGGTGGTTGTGGTGGTGGTGGTGGTGGTTGTGGGGGTGGTGGTGGTGGTGGGTGGTGGTGGTGGGGGTGGTGGTGATGGTGGGTGGTGGTTGTGGTGGTGGTTGTTGTGGTGGTGGTTGTGGTGGTGGTTGTGGGGGTGGTGGTGGTGGTTGTGGTGGGTGGTGGTGGTGGTGGTGATGGTGGTGGTGGTGGTTGTGGTGGTGGTGGTTGTGGGGGTGGTGGTGGTGGTGGTTGTTGTGGGGGTGGTGGTGATGGTGGTTGTGGTTGTGGTGGGGGTGGTGGTGGTGGTGGTGGTGGTGGTTGTGGTGGTGATGGTGGTGGTGGTGGTGGTGATGGTTGTGGTGGTGGTGATGGTTGTGGTGGTGGTGGTGGTGGTGATGGCTGTGGTGGTGGTGATGGTTGTGGTGGTGGTGGTGATGGTGGTTGTGGTGGTGGTGGTTGTGGGGGTGGTGGTGGTGGTGGTTGTTGTGGGGGTGGTGGTGATGTTGGTTGTGGTGGTGGTGATGGTGGTGGTGGTGGTTGTGGTGGTTGTGGGGGTGGTGGTGGTGGTGGTTGTTGTGGTGGTGATGGTGGTGGTGGTGGTGGTGATGGTGGTGGTGGTGGTGGTGATGGTTGTGGTGGTGGTGGTGGTGGTGATGGTTGTGGTGGTGGTGGTGATGGTGGTTGTGGTGGTGATGGTGGTGGTGGTTGTGGTGGTTGTGGTGGTTGTGGTGGTGGTGGTGGTGGTTGTGGTGGTTGTGGTGGTGGTGGTTGTGGTGGTGGTGGTTGTGGTGGTGGTTGTGGTGGTGGTGGTGGTGGTTGTGGTGGTGGTGGTGGTGGTTGTGGTGGTTGTGGTGGTGGTGGTTGTGGTGGTGGTGGTGGTGGTTGTGGTGGTGGTGGTGGTGGTGGTGGTGGTGGTTGTGGTGGTGGTTGTGGTGGTGGTTGTGGTGGTGGTGGTGGTTGTGGTGGTGGTGGTGGTGGTGGTTGTGGTGGTGGTGGTGGTTGTGGTGGTGGTGGTTGTGGTGGTTGTGGTGGTTGTGGTGATGGTGGTGATGGTGGTGATGGTGGTGATGGTGGTGATGGTGGTGGTGGTCGTGGTGGTTGTGGTGGTGGTTGTGGTCATCATCTCAAGATAACCTCAAACTATATCATACTGTAGTGTCCATGTGTGTGTACTCTCGGGTTACGAGGTCCCCTTGTGTCACACACTCCCGCAGCTCCGTCATGTACTCCAGGAGCCACACGCTCCTCCACGCATCTAGATGATTCAGAATTTCAAGATTTGCCACATTTGTGGTCCCAGCCCAAGTGTAGTGTTGCTGGCTGGTGGTCTGCTCTTGTGGCTGCTCTAACACGCTGCTTTAACACATGCTCGCGTGTCTTGTGTGTTGCTCTCCATGTTGCATCACCCCCTGTCACGGGCCCCTAGTTTATCCAGTCTGTTTCCCTGTGGTTAAACTCTCCTATTATTAGGTTTACAGTTTTTGTTCATCCACGGGGGCCTCGTAGCCTGGTGGATAGCGCGCAGGACTCGTAATTCTGTGGCGCGGGTTCGATTCCCGCACGAGGCAGAAACAAATGGGCAAAGTTTCTTTCACCCTGAATGCCCCTGTTACCTAGCAGTAAATAGGTACCTGGGAGTTAGTCAGCTGTCACGGGCTGCTTCCTGGGGGTGGAGGCCTGGTCGAGGACCGGGCCGCGGGGACACTAAAGCCCCGAAATCATCTCAAGATAACCTCAAGAATCTCAAGAACATCTTGTCACTGTGGCTGCTTTCCCCCCCCCCCTTATATTAGGCAGTTCTCACTGTGTTGTATGCCTCTCGGGGCTTAGTGTGGTCAACCACCACTATCTTCTTGTCTCCCATTGTCACTATTAGTACTGTGTACGCTTACTGGTAAGTACTTACTTATTTCTCTGATACTTTACTACTTCAAGACTAAAGTGTAGCTGTGGCAACAGGGCTACACCCCGTCTGTGCATTCTATCTTTCTATATTGATATCCTCGAGGGAAGATTGCATTTCCTATAACACTTTTTAGTTTTGTTTCTGTTATCACGATAATATGTGGTTGTTTTTTCTACCACTCATTCCTGTAATTCTGCCCCTTTATTTGCAATGTCATCTGCATTTGGGGGTGATAGAGAGAGGTGCAAGGGGTGGGGGATACAGGGGGGCAGTAGTGATGGTGACCGAAGGAGTGATGATAATATCGGTACTCACCAACAGTAATATTTCCGCACGACATGCCACAGAAAACGGATTAGACCCCCCCCCCCCCGTCCTCAAGCACATACTACGACATACGCTTTCTCGGCCGCCCGTTTAGAACACGTCCCCGTCAGAATATTTCATTACAATGTCCGTCCAAACAGTCAAGATCAAAATAAAGGACATTGTTATGTTTCACATGGAACTGCTGTTTCTTGGAACTCGTTTCGCTCACCTACGACACACATCAATTACCCTTGAAACTTACGCTGCCCCTTGAAACTTACGCTCCCCCTTGAAACTTACGCTGCCCCTTGAAACTTACGGTCCCCTTGAAACTTACGCTGCCCCTTGAAACTTACGCTTGCCCCTTGAAACTTACGCTGCCCCTTGAAACTTACACTCCCCCTTGAAACTTACACTCCCCCTTGAAACTTACGCTCCCTTGAAACTTACGCTCCCCCTTGAAACTTACACTCCCCCTTGAAACTTACACTCCCCCCTTGAAACTTACGCTCCCCCTTGAAACTTACGCTCCCCTTGAAACTTACGCTGCCCCTTGAAACTTACGGTCCCCCTTGAAACTTACGCTGCCCCTTGAAACTTACGCTGCCCCTTGAAACTTACGCTGCCCCTTGAAACTTACACTCCCCCTTGAAACTTACACTCCCCCCTTGAAACTTACGCTCCCCCTTGAAACTTACGCTCCCCCTTGAAACTTACACTCCCCCCTTGAAACTTACACTCCCCCCTTGAAACTTACGCTCCCCCTTGAAACTTACGCTTCCCCTTGAAACTTACACTCCCCCTTGAAACTTACACTCCCCCCTTGAACTTACACTCCCCCCTTGAAACTTACACTCCCCCCTTGAAACTTACGCTGCCCCTTGAAACTTACGCTCCCCTTGAAACTTACACTCCCCTTGAAACTTACACTCCTCCTTGAAACTTACACTCCCCCTTGAAACTTACTCCCCCTTGAAACTTACACTCCCCCCTTGAAACTTACGCTTCCCCCTTGAAACTTACACTCCCCCCTTGAAACTTACGCCCCCCCTTAAAACTTTCCCCCACTCTGCCCCTTGACAGTGGGAGGACAAACTGAGGTCTGAGTGCTCGAGGCTGAAGGCTGAGTTGGACGGCCTCCACGCCGAGGAGAAGCACCTGGCGGTGGAGTCGATGAAGGTGCAGAAGGAGCAGGAGATCAGGGCGCTCAAACAGTCGTGGGAGCTTCGTCAGGAGGAGATGACCAAGGAGGTGAGTGATCCTTGCTCCCTTCTTCATTATACCACGTCTTCATTATAGGATATCTTCATTATACCACGTCTTCATTATAGGATATCTTCATTATACCGCGTCTTCATTATACTGTCTTCATTATAGGATATCTTCATTATACCACGTCTTCATTATACTGTCTTCATTATAGGATATCTTCATTATACCACGTCTTCATTATAGGATATCTTCATTATACCACGTCTTCATTATAGGATATCTTCATTATACCACGTCTTCATTATAGGATATCTTCATTATACCACGTCTTCATTATACTGTCTTCATTATTGGATATCTTCATTATACCACGTCTTCGTTATAGGATATCTTCATTATACCACGTCTTCATTATAGGATATCTTCATTATACCACGTCTTCATTATAGGATATCTTCTTTATACCACGTCTTCATTATAGGATATCTTCTTTATACCACGTCTTCATTATAGGATATCTTCATTATACCACGTCTTCATTATAGGATATCTTCATTATACCACGTCTTCATTATAGGATATCTTCATTATACCACGTCTTCATTATAGGATATCTTCATTATACCACGTCTTCATTATAGGATATCTTCATTATACCACGTCTTCATTATAGGATATCTTCATTATATGACAGAGAATAGAGCAATGATGTGTCCTGAGTGTGACCCCCCTCCCTGCTGGGCATATCCTGAGTGTGACCCCCTCCCTGCTGGGCATATCTTGAGTGTGACCCCCCTCCCTGCTGGGCATATCCTGAGTGTGACCCCCTCGCTGCTGGGCATATCCTGAGTGTGACCCCCCTCCCTGCTGGGCATATCTGAGTGTGACCCCCTCCCTGCTGGACATATCCTGAGTGTGACCCCCTCCCTGCTGGACATATCCTGAGTGTGACCCCCCCCTGCTGGGCATATCCTGAGTGTGACCCCTCCCTGCTGGCCATATCCTGAGAGTGACCCCCTCCCTGCAGGGCATATCCTGAGTGTGACCCCCTCTCTGCTGGCCATATCCTGAGTGACCCCCTCCCTGCTGGCCATTTCCTGAGTGTGACCCCCTCGCTGCTGGCCATATCCTGAGTGTGACCCCCCCCTGCTGGGCATATCCTGAGTGTGACCCCCTCGCTGCTGGCCATGTCCTGAGTGTGACCCCCTCCCTGCTGGCCATATCCTGAGAGTGACCCCCTCGCTGCTGGCCATATCCTGAGTGTGACCCCCCCCCTTGCTGGGCATATCCTGAGTGTGACCCCCCCCCTGCTGGCCATATCCTGAGTGTGACCCCCTCCCTGCTGGCCATATCCTGAGAGTGACCCCCTCGCTGCTGGCCATATCCTGAGTGTGACCCCCTCGCTGCTGGCCATATCCTGAGTGTGACCCCCTCGCTGCCGGGCATATCCTGAGTGTGACCCCCTCCCTGCTGGGCATATCCTGAGTGTGACCCCCCTCCCTGCTGGGCATATCCTGAGTGTGACCCCCTCCCTGCTGGCCATATCCTGAGTGTGACCCCCTCCCTGCTGGACATATCCTGAGTGTGACCCCCTCCCTGCTGGACATATCCTGAGTGTGACCCCCTCCCTGCTGGCCATATCCTGAGTGTGACCCCCCCTGCTGGGCATATCCTGAGTGTGACCCCTCCCTGCTGGCCATATCCTGAGTGACCCCCTCCCTGCTGGCCATATCCTGAGTGTGACCCCCTCGCTGCTGGCCATATCCTGAGTGTGACCCCCCTCCTGCTGGCCATATCCTGAGAGTGACCCCCTCCCTGCCGGGCATATCCTGAGTGTGACCCCCCCTGCTGGGCATATCCTGAGTGTGACCCCCTCCTGCTGGCCATATCCTGAGTGACCCCCTCCCTGCTGGCCATATCCTGAGTGTGACCCCCTCGCTGCTGGCCATATCCTGAGTGTGACCCCCCCCCTGCTGGGCATATCCTGAGTGTGACCCCCCCCTGCTGGCCATATCCTGAGTGTGACCCCCTCCCTGCTGGCCATATCCTGAGAGTGACCCCCTCGCTGCTGGCCATATCCTGAGTGTGACCCCCTCGCTGCTGGCCATATCCTGAGTGTGACCCCCTCGCTGCTGGACATATCCTGAGTGTGACCCCCTCCCTGCTGGCCATATCCTGAGTGTGACCCCCCCCCTGCTGGGCATAGCCTGAGAGTGACCCCCTCCCTGCCGGGCATATCCTGAGTGTGACCCCCTCCCTGCTGGGCATATCCTGAGTGTGACCCCCGCCCTGCTGGCCATATCCTGAGTGTGACCCCCCCCCCCTGCTGGGCATATCCTGAGAGTGACCCCCTCCCTGCCGGGCATATCCTGAGTGTGACCCCCTCCCTGCTGGACATATCCTGAGTGTGACCCCCTCCCTGCTGGGCATATCCTGAGTGTGACCCCCTCCCTGCTGGCCATATCCTGAGAGTGACCCCCTCCCTGCCGGGCATATCCTGAGTGTGACCCCCTCCCTGCTGGCCATATCCTGAGTGTGACCCCCTCCCTGCTGGACATATCCTGAGTGTGACCCCCTCCCTGCTGGGCATATCCTGAGAGTGACCCCCTCCCTGCCGGGCATATCCTGAGTGTGACCCCCTCCCTGCTGGACATATCCTGAGTGTGACCCCCTCCCTGCTGGCCATATCCTGAGTGTGACCCCCTCCCTGCCGGGCATATCCTGAGTGTGACCCCCTCCCTGCCGGGCATATCCTGAGTGTGACCCCCTCCCTGCTGGCCATATCCTGAGAGTGACCCCCTCCCTGCCGGGCATATCCTGAGTGTGACCCCCTCCCTGCTGGCCATATCCTGAGTGTGACCCCTTCCCTGATGGGCATATCCTGAGTGTGACATCTCCTCCTTGTGCAGATCTCGACCCTGAAGGACAGCCTGACAGACAAGGACGCCTATTATCACAAGGAGCTGGAGAACCTTCGCACCAACGCCGACAGAGACGTTTGGGACCTTCGGCGGAAGCTGCAGAGGAGTGACGAGAAGAGCTGGTCCCAGCAAGAGTACCTACAGGAGAAGCACCACGAGGAGATGGGTGAGTACCCCACCTCACTACAATAACCACGGGCTCGCCATAGCCCGTGCTGCTTGGAGCTTTTTGGTACCAAGTAGCGAATCATTAACAACAACAACAACATTCCCCCACTACCTGTGACTGGGGTGGGGGGGGGGGGGGGTGTCCAGTACCCTCACTACCTGTGCTGGGGGGTCCAGTACCCCCACTACCTGTGCTGAGGGTCCAGTACCCCCACTACCTGTGCTGGGGGGTCCAGTACCCCACTACCTGTGCTGGGGGGGTCCAGTACCCCCACTACCTGTGCTGGGAGTCCAGTACCCCCACTACCTGTGCTGGGGGGGTCCAGTACCCCCACTACCTGTGCTGAGGGTCCAGTACCCCCACTACCTGTGCTGGGGGGTCCAGTACCCCACTACCTGTGCTGGGGGGTCCAGTACCCCCACTACCTGTGCTGAGGGTCCAGTACCCCCACTACCTCTGCTGGGGGGTCCAGTCCCCCCACTACCTGTGATGGGGGGTCCAGTACCCCCACTACCTGTGCTGGGGGGGTCCAGTACCCCCACTACCTGTGCTGGGGGTCCAATACCCCACTACCTGTGCTGAGGGTCCAGTACCCCCACTACCTGTGCTGGGGGGTCCAGTACCCCACTACCTGTGCTGGGGGGTCCAGTACCCCCACTACCTGTGCTGAGGGTCCAGTACCCCCACTACCTCTGCTGGGGGATCCAGTACCCCCACTACCTGTGCTGGGGGGGTCCAGTACCCCCACTACCTGTGCTGGGGGGGTCCAGTACCCCCACTACCTGTGCTGGGGGGGTCCAGTACCCCCACTACCTGTGCTGGGGGGGTCCAGTACCCCCACTACCTGTGCTGGGGGTCCAGTACAACTCCCTTCAGCCTCCATTGATTGGTCATCAGTTCAAAATATGCCAAAAATATGCAATAAATGAAAACTGGTTCGATTTCAATCAAATATTTTTGGCGAGTTGTATATGAAAAGTGTTTCATCTGGTCCAAGTCTCAGCATCGTAGGGTAAATAGGAAGGGAGAAAAAAATATATTGATTTAAGTGTCAAAATTTTTGTCCAAAATGGTCAAAAATTAAGCAGGCTACGAGTCACAATAACGTGGCTAAAGTATGTTGACCAGACCACACACTAGAAGGTGAAGGGACGACGACGTTTCGGTCCGTCCTGGACCATTCTCCATCGACTTGAGAATGGTCCAGGACGGACCGAAACGTCGTCGTCCAACCCCTTCTCGCACTTGCGTATAGTCAATATTGGCTTATTTAATAAGTGCATATGTGACATACTAATTGATTGTGAATATTTTAGTTTACCTTGAAAAGCTTCATAGAAAACACCGACCTCACCTAACCTTCTTAGTATGTTAAGATACGCATCTTATTGCTTCTTAATTACAGCTATTACGTAACCTATACCGTTGTTAACATACTAAGAAGGTTAGGTGAGGTCGGTGTTTTCTATGAAGCTTTTCAAGGTAAACTAAAATATTCACAATCAAATTAGTATGTCACATATGCACTTATTAAATAAGCCAATATTGACTGAAGGCAAGTGCGAGAACGGGTTGCGTCGTCGTCCCTTCACCTTCTAGTGTGTGGTCTGGTCAACAATTAACATCAAACACAAGTGTCAACTGAACTCATGTCTATGACTCTCAGCTATCATAACAGCATATATTAAAAAAAATAATTAGTTTTATAAAAAAAAAATTAAGTTAAAAAAAATTGATTTTTTTTCATTTTTTTTTGTTTATCGGACGATTTGCATGAAACTTATACACCTGACTGCACGTAAGCCTATCTGTAAGGGGGTCAGTTTTGGAGGAAATTGGTTAATGTCAACCTCAGCCATAGATGGCAGCACTTTAGAATTTATTTTTGAATTAATTATTTTTGAAGTAACATAAATGTAGTCCCTACTCCTTTATTTTTATTCACTTTACATAAACTTTACATATGAGGTTTAAGTTTCATGTCTCTAAAATCTTATACCAGCGATTTTTCCTAAGTACATTTATTGATTTTATAATAACAATAAACATGATATATTTTCATAATTTCACGCCTCACCATCCCTCACAACGCCTCACCACGCCTCACCACGCCTCACCACCCCTCACCACCCCTCACCACGCCTCACCACGCCTCACCACGCCTCACCACGTCTCACCACGTCTCACCACGCCTCACCACGCCTCACCACGCCTCACCACGCCTCACCACGCCTCACCACGCCTCACCACCCCTCACCACCCCTCACCACCCCTCACCACCCCTCACCACCCCTCACCACCCCTCACCACGCCTCACCACCCCTCACCACCCCTCACCACCCCTCACCACCCCTCACCACGCCTCACAACGCCTCACCACCCCTCACAACGCCTCACCACGCCTCACCACCCCTCACCACGCCTCACCACGCCTCACCACCCCTGACCACGCCGCCTCACCACCCTGACCACGCCTCACCACCCCTCACCACGCCTCACCACCCCTCACCACGCCTCACCACCCCTCACCACGCCTCACCACCCCTCACCACCCCCTCACCACCTCACCACCCCTCACCACGCCTCACCACGCCTCACCACGCCTCACCACCTCCCACAACGCCTCACAACGCCTTACCACGCCTCACCACCCCTCACCACCCCCACTCACCACGCCTCACAACGCCTCACCACCCCTCACCACGCCTCACCACCCCTCACCACCCCTCACCACCTCCCACAACGCCTCACAACGCCTCACCACCCCTCACCACCCCTCACCACCCCTCACCACCCCTCACCACGCCTCACCACCCCTCACCACTCCTCACCACCCCTCACCACCTCCCACAACGCCTCACAACGCCTCACCACGCCTCACCACCCCTCACCACCTCC